AACTTGCATGTACTTTTACTTTTTTTGTTACTTTTACATTTTTAATGGAAATAATTGTACATATTTATGACATATAGCACAATCTTTGGACACATGTACACAATGATCAAGTCATTGATCTTTTCTTTAGGTTTGGAACTAGGAATTTCTTTCTTCTAGTTCTTCATTTTTTTTTTTCCACACTAAGAATTGAGCCCAGAGAATGCTGAGTACTTGTGTGCCCAGCCCTTTTCATTTTTATTTCAAGACATGGTCTCAGTATGTCATTCAGGCTGACCTCAGATTTGCAAATCTCATTCCTCAACCTTCCAAGTAGCTAGGATTACACTACATCAAGCTTATGTCAAGTTTGCCCATATTCTTTTTATATCATTTGTATTGACTCCTTCCTTCTCATTGATGCTTATTAGTCTCACATTGTTCATCTTTACATCGTCTTGCAGGTATTGAATTATTTTTTCCTGCATCCTACTTGTTTTAAAGAGATCTTTTCTTACTTTTTTGCTAGCTGCAATGGTGTCTTTAAGGTCAGAAAGTCTATTTTCACTTTCCCTCAAACAGTTTTGCCAGCTTGTGATTGAGGTTTTAATTTCCTGTATATCAATTTGAACCTGTTTCATACATTCTATTTCTTTTCTAAATTGCTTATTCAGGAGTTCCATCATTTTTATATTCTGCTTTATTTTTTCATCAGTGTATTCTTTAGAAGCACTTAGTACTTCTTTAATTATAGTTATCACTAAATTTTTTAGTTCAGAAATTATTTCTGATCTGATTTCTTCTATACCTTTCTGCAGTTGTTTCTTTACTGCCAACGCTATTATTTCAGAGGTATCTGGCGTGTGGTTTCCAATTTCCTCTATGCTAGTGTCCTCTGCATTTGTACTGTGTGGACTCGGGGCCTGAGACTGCATTTTGTTCCTTCTCTTTGTCATTTTGTATACTACTGTCTTCTGACCTTTGGTGTAGAGCTTAGATAGAGTTATAACCTTAGCACCAGGTCCGGATCTATGAAGTTCAGATTCCAGATCTACGAAGTTCAGATTCCTCCAGGTGGGTGTTGTTTGGATCTGGCTGCTGTGCTCCACTTCTTTCTGCTGCAGCCATTAGAGTTGAACCCTTTGTGTCCCTCTGGCAAGATGTTCTGCTCCTGAATCAGCTGGGTGGGTCTTGCCTCTAGCCTCTTTGCAGGGAGTTCTGCTGAAGGGTTCCTCGCTGGGCCTGCACTCTGGGACGAATGAAGATCCGCGGGCCTTGGGTGGTCTCACTCACGTGCCGGGTCTGGGCTCTGGGTCTATTCAGCATCCCGCGGGAACCGGGTCCTCTCACTCACTCGCCGGGCCTGCGCTCCTGGTCTATTCAGGATCTGGTGGGCCCCGGACGTCTCACTCACTGCCGGGCCTGTGCTCAGGGTCTATCCTTAAACTATTTTAGATGTGTTAGAAATTAATTAGTGGTTTTAGAAGCCAGGGTTCTCACAGAGGGAAGAGGGAAATACAAATATGGACTGTGGAGAGGCAAGCACTAACTGTGTGTAGAGTGGAACTGAAGGGTTTGGTACGGGTCCATGATTTTATATGTACGTGCACATGTGTTTAGAGAAATGTCATAAACTGTGTATACATGTACCCCCTGCTTTGTCTGCTCAGAAGGACAAGATATAAAAGTGTCCCAGTAGCAATGTCCCCGTCTAGCACCATTTTTGTCTGTAATCTCATTCCCTACTAAGAGGGTGCTGGGCCCCAGCATGCCGGGGTTAGCTCTATTTACCAACTTCATAACAAAAAAAAAAATGGGTTTCAATTGAACGTTCTCCCAAACACATGTAGAACACCCTGGGATGAGGGTGTTTCTATTGAGAAGAGGGACTGAGAAGTGGGGAGTCTGACCAACTTCATTGGTTGGGATGACAGGGTGGCAACATAAAGATTTTCGTTTAAAAAATGAATCCAATTTTAAATTCTGAAATCATTGTTCTGTCATCATCATTATTATTGCTGTTGTTAGTGTTAACACATTCTTTTAAAATGAAAATGGTGATTGGGATAGATGAGAGTCAGATTTTTTTTTTTAACCTTAGTATCCTTATTAGACAAAGCAAAACTCTGATAACAAATCACTTCCCAAAATTTTTCTGAGTATTTTAGTTATCCATACAATCTGAAAGTGTAGAAACTACTGGATTAGATAATTTCTTTGGTTGCTGTTCACTGTCAGATTGTGTGGAAGTTCACAGAGATTTGAGAAATTCTCCTACAATTTGCTAAAGAGTAAAGAACTCAACAAGTTGTTTGGATTCTAATAAATACAAACATGAACAAATAAATGGTAAATAGCCATACTGCATGGTTTGATAAGATATAACTACATCTCAGAGTCAAAAGATATGAGAAAATCTGAAGTTACAGGATTTATTCAAGCAAAATTGAAAAAATTTTCTTTTGTCTTTTTGATGAGGTTGGCTAGGGGCTTATTGATTTTATTTAATCTTTCAAAGAACCAAGCTTTTTGCTTTTTTAATTCTTTGAATTGTTTTCTTCGTCTCAATTGAATTAATTTCTACTCTAATCTTTATGATTTCTTCCCGTCTTTGGACTCTGGGTTTGGTTTGCTCTTCCTTTTCTAGTTGTTGAAGGTGCAGCATTAGGGGATAGTGAAGCGGAAGGCCCAATACTATTATGGACTATTGGACTCTTTTAGAATATTTTGCTGAGTTATCACACCTATAATATTCAAATAACGGAATTTAACAAAAAAAGGGAATACAGATGAATGTCCATTTTTGTATCTGTGTATTTAAAATGGTTAGGATAGATATAGAGTTGCATTCTCTTAATGAATAGAGGGATTTGTTCTAATAGTGTTTGTAAATAGGATATCAAGTTGGCATCTTGTACAGCAATTAACCACTAGGAAGAATGTATGCAATGTGCTAATTATTGAAACTGTCCTACCAATTTGGTTTGAAACTGTCTCACTGCTATTTGTTTCTGAATAAAATTATGGAGAA